ACACGTGTTTATGTTTCCTTTCAAATGATACCTGGCAAAATGTAAGCTGTACGGTAGTTCTTTCTAGACTCTTAAGGCAGATAATTACCTAGACACAATTTTGTGTTTCAGAAAATACGTCACACAGAATGGACTTCAAATTCTTCTCTTCTTATGATGAATGGGATTATCCATATAAACTATGAAGTACATATAAACCGATCACAGTGGTCGCGCGGTCTAAGGTAGGCCGCACACCGGCGTGCGTCAAGACATGTAACAGTCAAGACACGATGTCTGCGACATGACGCAAAGAAAGGAGCACAGTTGAAACGAATGAGATTATGAAAACCGCTGCTCACCAGTCTGAGTCATGATGCTGACGTCAGCTTCATGCTGACGAATCACGAATGAAGCAAGACTGTCTTTTGTCCCATGTCTTGATGCTTGTCTTGACGCAGTTGGTGTGCGGCTGCCCTTAAGACATGAACCGTCTTAGTCCGCTCAAACACTGCGAACGTCAGTTGTAATCCCACTCAAGGCATGGATATCTGTGAGTTTATTCTCCGTTTGTGTTGCTCTGTGTGTAGGTAGCGGCCTTGCGACGAGCTCACCACTCGTGCATAGATTCATATAGACCAGGCACGTCCAACTTCAAACAGGTTGTGATCGACTTTTAAGTGTCCAAACTGCCAGTGATCTACCACCCCCTCCTATCGTCGTACCTCGCTTTAAGTAAAAATATTGGTAAAAATAACACTACACATGATGTTTGTTGCAAAAGCAACATACATTGAAACTACAGACTACTTTAATACGTATTTCCCGTTCAAAATCTGAATATAATCATATTATATTACAAGTTAATTTACATGCTTCTCACAAATAATTTCCTTATAGGCCTATGAGATCGAACAAAAATCAAAATCGTCCCGCGATCGACGCGTTGGACATATCTGCTATAGACGCTGAAAAAACGGCAGAGGTCCAAAGGGCCATAACGAGAGCGAAAACAAAAGAAATAGAGTACAATTTTCCAATTTACATTTCCTCTATAAAACTGAACACGTGCTATGCATTAAATTACGTAGCCACATTTGTCAATCAACCAATTCCTTATCGCAAAGATTCCGAGACACCTAATATAATTCCGTGGCTAGCTCATTTATTTCTTGGAATTTCTCCACGCATGTCCGACTTGCGCATGGCTCAGTCTTTGCGTTATGCATATTGAGTAGTAAGCGTACGAAGTCGTGAAGCCAAAATGCTTGAAGTACGACACGCCCATGAATAAAGAATGTCCAAGTGCAGTATCAATCCGCCATAAAGTACACGTACTGCACCCACACCTCTGAAAGCAACGTAATTCTTATTCTTACATACTGTGAAGTGTCACTGAATCTTCAATCTTCTTCTCAAATCTGCCGGCTTTACGAAAGTTTAGTTAATCAGACACCCGTAGTCAAAATATTTAATGTTAAATATCAACTTCTGAAACAATCAACTTGTCTGCCATGACTCTCTATACGCTTAGTGTAATACCTTGTATTCGGTCATGTGGTTATATGTGTAGTTTCCAAGAAGTTAGCTATTATAATACAGGGTATTACAGAGCATTCGTAAAAATAACAATAACGAAGACCATGTTGCTGTAAGTGTAGTGTAAGTGTTCATTTGTTCTTACAAGAATACCGGACGATTAACAACGTCCAAAAATCCAATATTTTCTAATGTTGTACACCACTGTCAGAATTCTTCAGAATCTACGTTAGTATTGCTACTCGTAAACCGGAAGGTCGTCTTTAAAAGAACGTTAGGGCAGCATTTGAAATGACATATCCACAGCCCATATTCAGTTAACATTTTAGCACCAGTTATTTCATTCCCTTAATCAATAAATTTGTTTGAAGTCCTCCAATAGACTGAATCTAACTGGAGATCCAATGACATGAAAAAACGGTAACGAACCTCTGAGTTTCATGAAACGATGAGAATTCTTTACCAGCTGAAAAATTAACAGCAGCTCAATAATGACTCTTCTCCATGGAAACAGTCAGATAATCGTAAAAAAAATCCTCTGGAGACTTAAATAGGAAATAACATAAGTTATGAAATTCATTTACAGTTTGCTGTGGTATTTACGTATATACATTCCATATAATATATATAGACCGGTTAAGAACTATGTGCGAATGATCTCACTTGAGACACAGTTATCCCCAATGTCTGACAAACAACAACAACAACAAAATCCGTGGCTTGAATCCGCAAACGAACTACACCGACCGAGCGATCGCAGCTTGTCGGCGAAGTTAGTGCCAATCTGACATAAGACTTTATTCATCAGACGCGTCGATACGTCCACACTGTCATATCCAGGTCAGAGAAATGGACGGGAAAAGTCCGAAAGCGAAAGGAGTACAGCAGATAAAGGAAGTTTGTAAAATACTTCCCATTACATTTTCAACGGGCCTTTTTCAATAGTAGTATCAATTATTATATGTAATCTCATTAACAGGGATGAAGTAGAGTTTTAACAGTAAGGTGTGCCCGTTCTGCACGAGGGACGAAAAAGTTTTGCGTAATTTCTTATATTCTCAGAAATGGACTTGCTGATCAAAGGCACCGTTAAGTAACGGCTGGCTAGTTCCCCTGTTCCCCTTAGGTTTCTCACCATCTCTTTTTCATTTAGCAAATGTAACAACTTATGTGATTTACAGTTTATATAACATATGCCTTCATTTATTTTTGATGCCTAACTGGTCACTTCTAGCTAGCAAAATATTATTTCCAAAGTGACGAGCTTGGCTTTAATGTGACTCATTCCGTGTTGTAGAATGTCAGTATTACTAAAAAGAATTGTCATATATTAGGGGTTTGCGTGACGTATAAAACGGATCTTGGATTTGATGATCGAGTTTACAAGACCTTTATACAACAGATTACAACACTATCACAAATCACTATCTTCGGCTGTACACACTCGGTTTCTGACCACACTATACTAATTCACTACCCCTCTACTCTCGGAGCCAAAGTCACTCACTGTTATATAGCCTCGGGGAGGACTCCACAGGGAACACGCCCTTTGCCTAGCAATCGACGTCTACTATTGTCATTTATTTTTGCAGGTATTACCTAGCAACGGACTGTGTACCCAGAATCGGTCTCCGAGGGAAGGTGTTTATCGATCCCCTGCCTAGCAATGGGTCTACACGTCACAGTATCTATCCGTCTACCAATACTTCTTTAAGCTTTGAAGGTATAGCGGTTATCATTTTGTCTGACTTACTTCAACATTAGACAAGTCAACGCTCAAGCACCATATAGTCAACATCCTATATACTGCGAATATTGTCATGATTTAGTGACTATACAAGGAATTTGGATTGATAATCGAATTTGGTGAATTTTTATAACTCATAACTACAAGTAGTTATAACGCTCTCGCTAATTCAAGCACTCGACTTCTCACCACAGCACACGCTAAATCTCCGTCTATTATAGTCTTCACTAATTGTTACTTAGTTACGGCTCCCAACGATGTAGATTCCTCAGCTTGACGTCCTTACCGGCTGGCAACTGCCTCACAGCTAAATCATGGCGACACATAACTCACATTTTCAACTAACTAAAATCGAGTGAAAATCAAAATTGTATTACAATCGACGGTCATTCGGCTAGCCTGCATTGCTGTCAAGCCCCATCTGGTGCCGAAGACCAGATTTTTATTATTGTCAGACAGCTGCGAGTCTTTTGATGTGGGGCACCCTATCTGATGAGAGGACGGGTCTATTGTTTACAATTGTTGTTGGTTCTCGCCAGCACAGTCATTCTCGGGTGAAAGTCCGGCGGGACTCATGACCATATTTTACTGGCTCAGATTCGAGACTTCCCCAACATGGACGGCCAGTTGTACCCCCAGGTACTGGGTTCCTTTTTCGTCGCTTTCTAGGACCCGCAGAGCTACTGTGGAGGTATTCGAACATGCCTCCATGCAAGGAAACTTGCTAAAATCTCCCGTGGTTCTCCTTACATAGCCTCGGTACGGACTACAAACGAAACATCACTTCGAAATTCCTCTGTTGTTTCATTATTATTCGTTACCGTGGAAACGTGTTTTCCGAGCCGTTGCCTAGCTATAGATGTATTTTTTGAGTCTGCTATTCCAGCTTTCATCGTCATGACACAATATTATTATAAATGGCACTTTTCAATGAACGGGAAATGTATTAATTATATTTTGTGTTCAGCGTTAGTTGTAGGTTATACGTAAAATCTGACAAGTGTGGATGAATTCCCAATGCTTTAAGCATGAGGGAGTAATTAATAGAAAGAAGTTATGGGGAGAACATGTCGATGTGGAGTGAATTGCCACAGCGTAACAGAGTGTAACTCCGACTTTTGTGTACTAAAGTTATCATGGCCCTGGATATACGAATAATCTCAACTGGCTGTAGTGTAACGAGATGAGAGTAAGTTTTCAAACCAGCCTCTGTGATGTCGGCAGTGGCTGTCTTCCAAACAGGTACAAATGAAGTGCCTAATATTATCCGGCTAATCGAGTCTTGCCACAAGAACAATGCTTATTTGATATTTTAAATTAACAAGACATTGATATATTATGGGTTATGTATAAAAGCCTGGCATATTTTTAATATATTTACACATCGGCAGTGTAAGACAGATTGGAATACGTAGACGTGTTTGTAATATCCTGCATTTATCTTATTTAAAATACTGCCTTAATGGAATCACACATTTTTTATTATTTTATCATAGCAACCCAAATTGATGCCATCTCCGACTCGTCTATAATTATCAATATATCTTCCAGATGAGTATCAAAGTAATTGAAACCGTCGTCTGTCGTCGCATTGCAGATGTAAGCCACGTAGTAGGCCCTGGACGTTGTCACCAATACATGTAAATCACAACTGACCGCTGTGTCACTAAACACATACAATGGCCGATGTGACGTAATATTATCGAGCCAATGTCAAAACTCTGGTGGCCGGGCGGTATAAAAGTGCCACAGGCATCACTCCAAGGCATTAGTATCTCTTGGTATCACTAGTAAGTTCAGTTGGTGAGCAGCAGAAACAACAGAAACTAAAAATGAAGGTAAGGTTTCGTCCCTGCGACTGATTGAAAAAAAAAGCAGTATACATTAACGTATCAAGATACACTGTGCAAATTTTTAATATGTTTCAATATGAAAGAATGAGATAAAGGGTTAAGCAAACTGAATCGCAAGAAAATGTACAGGTATAAGCATTTCATAAGCGTTTTAGTAAAGTAATTCATAGCATACCTAATGAAAATTGCAGATTCGAGCTTTTTCAAAAATGAAACTGAACACTATAGCTAGGCCTATAACTGTGCTTCACATATGCGATATATACTTGCACAATAAACACGCGTGTAAAGTAAAGTTGTGCCGGTCACGGTAGCCGAGCGGTCTAAGGCGTGCACTGTCTTCGCTCGCTCGGAAGCCGGGATCGTGGGTTCGAATCCCACTCAGGGCATGGATGTTTGTGTGCGTTTTTCTGTGTGTCTACAGGTACAGGCTTTGCGACGAGCTGATCACCCGCCCAAGGAGTCCTACCATATGTCTAAGATCTAGAAAAACCGAAGTGAACGGAGAAGTTCATGGAGGTAGGCCTAGGCCCACTGGGGCTGTAGTGCCAAGGAAAAAAAAAAGTAAAGTTGTCCCTGTGCTTAACTAATTAAGTACTACTCCGTGAAGAAGCATGGGGAGTCGATGCATAGATCCACATTTTCTTTACGTCGGCACTAGCTGGAGGTGAGTGGTCAGCTTCACGACCCAGCCGCTTTACCCCCGGAACTCATTGTTTAGGATGATGGGTGGACCCCAGAGCCGGTCTGGACAACATGGAGAAGTGAAAATTCTTGACCCTACAGGGACTCGAACTCCGATCTCTTGATCGTCCAGCCCGTAGCCAGTCGCAATGCCGTCTACGCTATCCCGGCTCCTATAACATACGTGTAGCTCACTAAAAGAATGATAACGTAAGAAACAAAATCGATAAAACACCGATCATCTAAAGCCAACAATGTTCCTACGCTATGTTTTTTTCTGCAGTTAAGACAAATTCCTCATGTAAATTGTGAATCAATCAAATAAATGTCTTCTGTAAATAAGACCATTTATTGCTGTTATGGGTTGATTTACATATTAGGAGAAAAGTTAAGAAATCTTATTTAGGCAACCAAGCAGTACAATTGAATTCAGACATTCCTATCGACCTTGCGCCCTTTATCTGCGCGATTTCACAAGCACCATGCAGTGAGCCAAACAGAGTTTCTGCAAGCAGATGCACAAGCCTATATTCAGTAAAATGTCATGGTCTTTAAAGCGTCGTCTTCGCGCAGGTGGTAAGCGTCACTTCAGCTGTTCTCCTGGCTCTGGCCCTTGCATCGGCCGAACCCGAGCCCCAGCGGTTCCGCGCAGATTCCTATGGGCCTCCCGCAGAAGTAGAAGCGCCGTACGCACCGTCGGGATGGCGTCCGTCCGGCCGTCAGTTCCTGCTACCATTCCGACAGAACTTCTACGCTCCACCCGCAGCTTACGGACCACCAACAACCACCCAACAACCGACCACTACTGAGGAGCCCACAACGACTGAAGTACCGACCACAACCGAGGTAAGGCATTTTCGCAGTCAGCAAACAGTTTCATATTACAATTTGTATAAGTTAGAAAATCTTCCATTCTAACGATCTTCTGGCCGGACCACAAGATTCATCAACTTAGGACTCTGCTTCGATTCTCCGTTGTGTATATGGTGACTATAGTGGAAACAGCTACACAAATACAAGCATGTTCTGCGAGCTCTCCTTTTGTCTGTCGTTCATTACAGCGTTCAGTTATCTTATGCCGCTAAGACCGGCCCAAAATAACTTATTCAGAAGACAGAGAATATCAACGACTCTTCCACCACCCTCATCTAGTATTCCTGAGGAAAGATTTGTTCCCTAAAGGGCAGATATCCATCGCGCCTATACTCTTCAGCAGGGTAGAAATACGATTCTAATCAAGGGGGGAGAGAATCCTTGAAAAGAAAAAACAAGAGTTAAGAATATGGCAGTCAAAGGCCTAATAATGCAGTGTTCTGCCAGGCACTGTGTAGGCCTACGTTAATGCTTTCTAACGGGGCTTCTTCCTTTTTCAGTTCTAAACTTTTATGCATATTGGTATCAAATCCCTCCAGTTTTTAAGTGCGCATAATTTATTTCCGTCGGTCAAGGTAGCCGAACGGTCTAAGGCATGCACTATCTTCGGTCGCTCGGGAGCCGAGATCGTGGGTTCAAATCCCACTCAAGGCATGGATGTTCGGTGTTTGTGCGTTTCTGTGTTTCTGTACAGGTAGAGGCCTTGAGACGAACTGATCACCAGCCCAAGGAGTCATACCGAATATCTAAGATCTAGTAAACCAACTTGAAATGGAAAGTTTCATGGAGACAGGCCAAGGCCCAAATTGGGGCTGTAGCGCCAAACGGGAAAAAGAATAAAATAATTTTATTTCCGGTGTGTCCGTTAAGTCAACTGTAAGATCTCTGCGAATTTCCCTTTCACCATAAAGCTTTCAATATATTATCTACTGTATATTAGCTGAATCCATGCCGATCACAGGGGCTGTACGGTCTAAAGCATGAACTGTCATCGCTCATTCGAACACTGGGATCGTGGGTTCGAGGGTTCGAATCCCACTCAAGGCATGGATGTCTGTTTCTGTGTTGTCTGTATGTAGGTAGAGGCCTTGTGACGGGCTGAGTACTCGTCCAAGGAGTCCTACCGTCTGTGTACGTCTAAAAATGATTACGTAACTGAAGAAGAGGCCAGAGCCCAACAAAGGGCTGTAGGGCCACTGGTGAATGAATGAATTTTATCTTTATTTCTAAGCACCATGCGAAAACAGTAAATCTGCAAGCATACACGATTTGGCGTTCTTTGAATTCCGACTGATATGTCGGTACCCACTGCCTGCATGGAGCGAGCCTCAAGTCTTTCTCTTGTATTATAGTCTATAGGTCATAAAAACATAGATATTTTGGCTAACGATAGTTCTGAATTTCTGGCTTTATTGTAACTTTACTAGTGACCAACTATGGGAAATTCTAGCAAAGTAAGAACATTTAACATATTATTTCTACACAGAATTACTGGGTTTTTTGGACTTTTTCAGTCGTCCGGAATTCTAGGTAATAGAGGACATTCTAGGTAACAGAGGACACGACGTTTCGGAAACTGGATCTGTTTCCGTCTCCAGGTGAGAAAGGAAGCCACCTACTCAGCTAGGACCCTTACAAAGAGCTAATCTCAATCACTGGTCGAACTGAGTAGGTGTCTTCCTTTATCATCTGAAGACGGAAACAGATCAAATTTCCGAAACTTCATGTCCTGTATTACCTAGAATTCCGGACGACTGAAAAATTCCAAAAACCCAGTCATTCTGTGTCATCCACCATCTTCAGAACCCTTTAGAATCTATATTATTTCTAGCCTATATTTCGAAAATTCTAAGTAAAATTTGCTTGATAAATTAAAATATAATATAATGTTGCTACTGATATGCAAATTGACAATAGTAGAACTCCAGCATCAAGAAGTAAGAGAATTCGGTTAGCCCTTTTCAGTTTCATGTAACATAAAATCTTGGCATCTGTCTGTAATAAATGACGTCTCCTTCGGACAGCAAAGTTACGCTGCTGCAAATCTTGTAGGAAATCACGCAACTCATATGGCCTTCATGAATGCAAAAGGTATCATTCAGAAAGAGGCGTAACTGACGCAGTAATCACACGGTGTTCTAAACATAAGATGCTACATAATACAAGACAGATCCTACTGACTAAATTTCGTCGCCAACAAAGTAAACAACGCTGGCTGCATGCCATCGCGTTAACTGATTACTTCAGCGTAACTTCGTGATCATATTCACTTTCTACTTCGTTCATATGACATTGCAAAGTGCTACCTTACCATCATAAGTAATCGAAGCTTAGATAACACAGCATACATGTACGTGGTTATGGTTGATGAATAATGGTATAGTAAAGAATTATTTTGTATTCTGTACCAAACTCTCGACTGTACAATGATGCCAAAATAATTGTGAAACACCACCAGGCGTGAGTTCCGAAGCTAGTTTCATTTCGTTATATGAATCCGTTTCTTTCTTCCTTCCCGGGGGAATTCGAAACACGCGTTTTAATCCAAAATTCTAATCGGTAGCTAAGAAAAATTCCTAATTGTTTGGACAAATTCTTAAAAAGAATTTGCAAATATTTCAGTCCTAGAATCACAGAACTGGAAGCTGCCTATGAAGAAATGTAGGCTAACTCTGAGAATCCATTCCTCTGTTCGAGAACCGGCTCGGAGAATATTTCGCATTAAAGAATTACTCTAGAGTAAACTGAATGAGAAACAGTCTAATTTAAGCTATTTTACGCGAAGGAGAATAGTTCTAAAGCCCTTATCTTATAACAATATTATATAATTCATTATCAACAAGAACCAAATATTTAAAATAAGCAACTGAAAGGAAAATTATTAATGTTTCTCTGACTGTAACATAAATGTGGTTATGTTCCGCATTTCCTCCGTCTTCCACTTCGTTCGCGACTTCAAGATTAAACAACAGACTTCACTTTTGAAATATTTTCAATCGTTACAGCTTTTCTTGGTCTAATACTTTAATTTTCCTGATTTGTTGAACATAGCTTTATAATTTTTATGCTACATATATTAATCTTCTGCCAAATGATAATGGTGAAAGTGAAAGGTAAAATTGACCATCTTCTTAATTAATTAATTCACTATTAAAGTACTATGTCATGAAGACGTATAAGGAGTGGAGGTACAGAACCACCATTTTTGACCTCCGAACTAGATAAGAGGTGAGTGATCAGCTTCACTCCCAGACCGCTTTTACCCCCCCCCCCACCTGTAAAGAGCCCCCGGCTTCCATTGGATAGGAAGCTGGGTTGACCTCTGAGTCCGTCTGGACTCTGTAGAGTAGAGAAGAAACACTTGCTCCTACTGGGACTCGTGCTCTTTCCCAGCGAACCGTTTAATATGACTAAATCAGATGTCATAGGTTCATGTCATAAATTGTAGCATAGTGATCTACTGCACTCAACCAATGCACAGCAGATAAATAGGATGAGAAATTTCTGGCAATGACCTATTCAACATTAATTGGTTGTATGCTGAACGATTTTCATATTGTGTAAATAATAATAATAAAAACAATAAGCCTGTTATCTTATAAAAGCAAATATTGCACAATGTCAGTTACCCGGAACCTATTTTAAAATCGGGGCAATTACATCAATTCCTATCTAAATAGGTGCCAAGCCGTAAGCCAACTGAAAGAACGAATACTTTAACGCTTAATCGAGCCGATGTGTTACTCCCACTTCATAACATCATACCTGTGCTCTTACACTGAGGAAAGAAATCTTAACGTGTTTCTCTTCTATATTTCACTTTAAATGAAGATTGCATAATCTTACAGATCGTCGATACGTGTAATCGTGTCATCTTACTCCCATATTTCATCATTAAATATACTTTCAGTTATGCCCTTTCTTCCTTATTTAGTGGAAAAAGAAAATGTGCACACTCCCGTACTCCATACCTACAATTCTCGGTGTTTTCTGTGTAGCCGATTCAACTGAACGTTACGGTGTTCTAGATCGTACCAGACCACACGGCGTCATAACTCAGAAGAATACTGTTTAAACTTCATCACCGTAAAAGTCGAGAATTCATATAATAACATGTGGGTTGAATTTTGTCCTTCTTGTCCTTTTAAAGTGATTTCTTAAGTGTAGAGGTAATTCCTTTAAGTTACACCTCGGTTCACTTGCTTCAAAATCCAAGCCTTGAGTAAGTCTAAGTGTACTGCAGCTGTAAAGGAAGAACGCGTCTAATCATACCTCGCGTTCCAGTAATCAAAATCAACACCCTAATTGCAACTAACTGATATTAAAAATCTTTGTATTATCAAGCAATAAAAGGAGTTACCTCAATTGGTAAAGTGGTTGGATACAAGTTGCATGATCGGAGTTCGACTTCGAGCAGAAAGAGTGATTTTTATCTTTGCACCAATGGCAGACCGGTTCTTTGGCCCACACATCCTCTTATTTAATGAGTCACAGGACGTTTCTCTCCGGGGGTAAAGAGCCGAGTGTAAAACTGAGCATTCACCTACACGCAGTGCCAAAGATAAATATATGGAGGTTATCCTACACCCCCAATACATCTCCATGTTTCGATGCCTAAGCACATGGACAGTTTTGCCTCCATTTTATTATAAGACGGAGCAATTTGGTTAAATGCGACCAATTGTTTCGAATATTAATAAAGAGATTAGTATAACTTGGGCATAATTTTGATACAATTGCCTTGACTCCAAGCCATTTTTGAGCTCCATCAGAGACATGTTCATTTTCCACACCGTGACGTGTAGTGACGTTTCCTTTGCAGCAAGACTCATCTGCCGAGTTCGCTGACGGCAATGGAGCCGATCCTAGCCGGGCCTTCAGCGAGCGTGACGGCCAGAGCAGCGGTGCCTACCATGTGCTGCTCCCTGACGGTCGTCTCCAACGAGTCACCTTCACGACGTCTCCCAATCAGCCCAACGGCGCCTTACAGGCGTACGGTGCTCCAGCTCAAGGTTACGTAGCTCAGGTCCAATATCAAGACGTAGAACCCATTCGGTCCCCAATCTACACATTCAGCGCACCCCTCATTCGGATATTCAAGTAAATTCATCTCTCGCAACTCCACACAGCATTTGCAAATAATTATTGACCGTCATCACACGGCACTGAGAGGAGACACTAAATCTGGTTCTTTAGAATTTGTAAGCATTACAATTATGGAGCAGAAACCATGCTATGGATGGTACTGAATATCACCGCACCTATTACAACTTGTAAAATACTATTATAAAAATTCTGATTGTGCCCGCGATACAGTGACGAAATATAATATAATAAAAATCAATTATACTTCACTGATGATTTTGTAATTATACGATTTTGAAATTTCAATTGGCTTTGAAATAGTATGCTCAGTGGTTTTTCAAACACAGGTACGCCACTTCATGAAACTGGATTATATTCCCGTGACCCAGAAATAGAAGTGTCTCAGAATTTTGTAGATCCTTTTGTTTCTGCAACTTTCATTTCAATGCCAGTGAGATTACACAGACTAGCAATTTCTATAATTACGTTTCCTGACTGCCGGTTTGCTAATAGACGAAATACTGATTCAATTGCATGCATACAGGTAGAGAAACTATGCCTTTTTTTGTTGGATTATGTCTTAATTGGCAACACACACACCTGAAAACGCATTCGACTTTACTATGAAAGGTACAAAAAGTGATGGTGGTTTATGCTTACTTCTTTAAGCTGCAAGTAGCTAGGAGTTAAAATTGTGCTGCATTACAATAGCGAAACCCTCTCACTCCTTGTGGCATAATAATATATGTAAACGATGAAAGAGTGAGCCACTGACGATATTTGTAAATTGCCTAATGGCATATACATTATCATATGAGGACACGCATCTGTAAATATGTTAATCGTTGGATTTTGCCTTTGTTATTGCTAACATTTAACATTTTAAACTCTGCCACTGTGTAGACATTCTTTCTATATTTCCATTAAGTTCAGAACGAGTTGTATAAATTAATCCGCAATGAATACAATGTGAAATCAGTTTGTAGGAGCCGAACACCTCTCAACATGCGTTATCACTAATAATGAGCAAATTGGAATTTGTCGAGGTAATTGATTCTCTCAACAAATTTGAGACAGCTAATATTTTAACCAGTTTGTGTATAGATTCAGACCAGAGGTTGTTTTTGGAAGCTCAGACCCTCTTGTAAATAAGTTCAAAATTATATATGTATATTCTACAATTATGTATGTATAGAGTATATATTGAATGTTGGTCTCGATATATGCACTGTCCATTCCTCCAAACGCAGGTTAAAATGTTACTTGTTTCCATTCCTAACATAATTACAAGATACGTTGTATACGCATTGCAAATTAGCATTATAAGTCATCCTGAAGTTGTACAGCATTACTCACACTGCACAATACATTTTACTTTATATACCTATTCCAGCATATACATGGAATAACTGCAATAAAGATTTATGACGGAATGAATAATTGCGCTGGTTTAATTATTAGGTGACAGGTAACTCAAACCTTAAGAAACAACTGACGCTCCTAACTCCTACTCCTCAAACAGGGTACACCACCTGTCGATCACATGATGTGAGATCGTCGGCTCTTCACAGATTAGGCCTAAGTCTGTACTCAGAGCCCTGTCCCGACGCTCTATATTGTAACCGTATGTCCCTCGCTAAAATTATTTAATTAAGGGCATGACCAATTTAGGCAGTGTGTCACACCATGGGAGACGCTCCTCCGGCGAAATACCATCCCGGGACCGTCTAGTTGTAATTCAACTATTGTCCTTCTTAGGCTTAGGGTGTTACTATTGTCTCTAAAGTCGCCTGTTTGCTCCTAGTGCCATAAACCCATGAACTGACATTGTGCGAGACCGGCCAGGAGGAGTCTTCTGTTCCTGCTCGTGTGTCTCGAAGAACTAAAAAAGTTTATGGGCATCTCGAAAAATACGAATGTAGAACAGATGGCAGGCTAGACCTTTGGATTTCTCTTTTTATTTTCTTGTTTTTTATGCCCACTGAGAGACTTGTAAAGAGAGGGCAGTTGTTTACAGGGAGAGGAGATACGACAGTTGAAAAAGGGAGTTACAGGAGGGTAGCTAGCGAGTGGTGTGTATGGTCAGTGAGCTGGGGGCAAATTGGTGTACAAAGGTTAAGTGTGACGGAGCGGCTAGCTTGGAGGAATAATATAAAGATTGATTACTGAATGAAATTTTAAATTAAGACTGCAATACACGGTGTGTTCTGAATACCCCGGATTCCTGAACCCCGAAGTGTGTTCCACTCCCATATCCGAAGCACCCGTATCCTCGAGATAAAGAACTCATCTCGAGCACTAGTCGTGGCAGCTGTACGTCGGCGGGCGACTACAATATTCTCTACACTAACAGCGTTGCTAAATAAAAAATTTAAATAAAATTTATTTCCATATAAATTTCGTAGCTTTGAACCGCTAGGCCTGCGAGTCTCTCACCCATTCTATTCAAGTGGACTAACCACTGTTCCCTGCAAGCATTTGTCCTCCCATTTGCTGAATAATCGTTTAGTTCCTTCCATACTTGTAAGTTTTTAGTTTACCTATATGGTACATTAACACAAGGTCATCTGCTAAGGAAGAAACTGTGCTACAGGGCATGATTGATAGACTGATTGAAATTGGAAGGTGCTATGGCATGGAAATGAATGTGGAGAAAACAAAAGTAATGAAAATTTCGAGACAACCAACCCCAGTCACAATAAAGATAGACCAAAAACAACTGGAGAATGTGAAATGTTTTAAATATTTGGGTAGCTTGTTAACAGATGATGGAAGGTGTACTAGTGAAATTAAATCCAGGATTGCCATGGCAAAAGCTGCATTTAGCAAGAAGAAGAATCTTTTTACCAGCAAATTGGACTTAAATTTGAGGAAGAAACTAGTGAAATGCTACATTTGGAGCATAGCTCTGTATGGGGCTGAAACATGGACACTTAGGGCAGTAGATCAGAAACATCTGGAAAGTTTCGAAATGTGGTGTTGGAGAAGAATGGAGAAGATCAGTTGGACCGATTATGTGAGAAATGAAGAAGTGTTAATTAGAGTCAGTGAGCAGAGGAATATCCTACATGAAATAAGAAAACGGAAGGCTAATTGGATTGGTCATGTTTTACGCAGAAACTGCCTTCTAAAAGAAGCTATCGAAGGAAAGATAGATGGGCGGATAGAAGTGACAAGAAGACGAGGAAGAAGACCTAAGAAGATGACCTTGGGGACAGAAGAGGATACTGTCATTTGAAGTTTGAA